TTCCCGCAGCAAGTGTTTACTTCAATTTGCTACAGCTTCTCATGAAGATTCTCCAGCAATTTTGAACACCATGATGCCCTGAAATAAGACAGACACTAAGTGAATCTGTGCTTTCAAGTGTGTCTAAATCTGGTTTCTGGAGGTTTTCCAGTTTGTTTTAATTCAGTGGTCTAAGGGAAGGTCAAAATAATATTAACTGAACCTTGTATTTCTGCTCAAAACCATTTTATTTCTTCATGCAACAACAAATACTGGTCTATTAAAATGATGACCTTAAAAAACTTCATTGGTTTTCAAATCGGTGGATAAAAGCCAGCTAGTCTCTTTTCAAAAACATTTAACAAAGAGCACCTCAAGCAAGTTACGAATTTTGAGAAAAGTAAAATTTTGGCATTATTCTTGAGGGATGCTTAACCACTTCCAACTTCAAATTAATAATGCAAATAATATTTAGTAGTGTGCACTCAATCCTAAAAAGTCAGAATAAACCACACCACTTTGAACAAACTGGCTGATAAACATAAATTTCTGTTAATTTGTTCCCACTTCCAGCTTCAGAGAAAGAGGGCATTACATTTCTGAAGAAGGTGAAAGACTACCAGCAACTGCTGTTTTGGATTGTTCCCCTCCCTGCCTTCACATTTCAAAAGCTTCCCAATTCATATGAAGTATCTACAGAGGCAATTTGGTTTTTCCTAAAAAAACAAACAAACAAACAACCCTCCCAAAAACCCCAGCCAAACAAAAAAACCCCCCACCAAACCAAACAGCCAAGCCTCACAAAACAGTTACCAAATTTTGGCTTCACATTTAAATAACTAATTCTATATTTCAGCTGTATTTAAAACCCAACCTTAACTTCCTGCATAACCAATTCTAATTGCAGATGGCATAGTAAAGAAAAAAGCACAGAAGATGCATTCATCTCCAGAAAACACAGAAATCAAATACTGACAAGACAAATTCAGAGCTATTAACTGAAATTTAAAAGAAATTTGAGTAACTCGAGTGGGGGTTTTTTGTATACACATTCAGTCAGAAGTATATCAATCTAGAAAGCAGCAAAAGACAAGAATATGTTTTAAAACTCCAGCATTAAAAAAAAAAAGACACTGAATAAGGGATATGACATTTACTTTGAAAAAAAAAGCCTAATCACGAAGAAAATGAGACTACAATGAAAGAGAATCCAAATGGATATGAAAAAAAAAAAGTTGCTAGTAGAAGTTTCGGTATAGTTTGTGCTCCTATGCAAGTACCAGCATGTACCTAAGGCACAGGTGAGGCCCAACTTACCTAAACCTTTTTTTGATTTTTGGATTTGATGAAGCACAACTCATTTCTGTTTCAATTATTTCTGTATTTCTCTGTATACTCAATAAGGTTAAAGTATCTTCACATCATAAAAATCTGAACTTGCATAGCTCAAAACAGTGTCTATCTTTGTGGCCTTATTTTTTTTACTTCCTCCTGAAGCAAGTCATTAGTTCCTCACTCTTTGTACTAGACTCATTAGACCAATCTATAATTTCTAACCTTACTTTATTTATTTGCAAGCAGCCCTAACTGTCTTACTCAAAATTAAATTAAATGAAAATGAAGAGCTAATTATCTTCAAGATCATTCATTCTTATCTGGAAAGATCAAATTGTCAAATCTGCCTTGCAAAGCTTTCCTCCAAAAATTTCACAGGTATTTATTTGCAGAAACAGTCATAAGTGAAACCTTAGTAAATTGTGTGTTGTCCACACTTCCACAACCTATTTGAGGATTTAAAATCAGAATCCATATAAAAATCAGTAGTAAAACACCACCACTCTGTTTTAGGTTAAGTAACACATTTAAAAGTAAGAAACACAAAATACAAACCGGGACTGTGACCTAAAGCAGTAATAACTGCTCTAGTAATAAAATAGTCATAAAACTGTGGGAAATAAGAGTCCTAAGTTTCACTGAACCAACTTAAGGGGAAATTATCCCCCTTGTTACAGAGGAAATATCCTTCATCCAAAGGAAATCAATAACAACAACTGAATCTGAAGTAATTCCCTGAGGTGCTACCAAGAAAGCTTTTACTCATCAGCTGTGCTTCAGCAGACGAAACGATAAAGCGGCAACCAATTAAACAGGTGACTGCCAAGCAGTCTGACCAGCACAGCAGCTGCACTGGTTTATACTCCTGTTTATGACCCACCCTGCTGTGTTATGACTCCTCGGAATGGACCTTCAACCTTAGTTAAAAATAACTTGTGTTAACATGACATAGTGAGAAATCTATCCCAGAATTTGTCCAATTATTAACAATTCATAATCCAATTTGATTTCCTCTACTTTGCCACACAATCTAAGTTTTACTTTGAAACAATGAAAAAAGTGGGGAAAAAAATTCTACACCTCCTTCCTACAGCTCTGGAAGGCGCTCTAGTTTAATGGCATTGCCACATATTAAGAGATTACAAAAGGAATCTTATGTCAAATCAATGCGCAGTCGGACGTTGTACAAGTTTAACTACCATCACTGAAACACATTTGCAGCACACCAGTTTTAAGGTCAATGAAAAGCATACTCTTCTGAAAGACCTTTACAAGACAAATGTCTAAGAAAGGAAGATGTAACAAGCATTTGCTTTAACACAGAGGTAAGTTCCTTATTAAATTTTAATAAAATGAGGTGAGCAGTAGCAGCCTCTCAAAAATGGGACAGACCAGAAATAAAAACTTGTTTCCAGGAAACACTGGTAGAACTACAGCTGGGGGAAAGTACGTGTGAAACAAGTCATGCCCTTGTGTCTTGCTAATAACCTGTTTATGGAAATACTTTTCTCAACAAGTTAATCTTATACTACATACTGGAAGCGAGCTCGCTGTGAACTACAAGCTGAAGACTGATGCCACCCATTGAATTAATTGCTACACTAAACTGACAGGCAACCTGTGACAAGGGTGACAGAGCCCCAAGTCCATGCAGAAGTCAGAAGGAAGACGCACCTTTGAAGTGGAGATGGAACAAGGCTGACTTCAGCCTGGACTGCACAGGACCAGTGAAGAACACACTGTCAGGTAATCCTACCCTGGAAAACTAAAGGCATTTGCATAGTCAGCTTCAGACATATTTCTAACAACAAATATGATGTGAACATTCAGATACAGGACCCAAACTGTATCCCTCTGAACACTGCAGACAGGGAAGGTCAACACTTTCAGAAGACAGCCTTCCCATCTACTTGCTTAATATGTCTGGGTTAAGCATTAGCCAGCCAGCCGTGCATCCACACAAAGTTAGAAGCAAGCTGCTGTACAAATATGGAATAGCACAGTTCTCAGTTCTTACACACTGCTGACTGCCCATTCGCAGCTTCTGATGGACTAATGTAGTTATACTGAATGAGTTAAAAATTTTAAATCCTGTAATTATAGATTATTTTAGTGACTGCAAAAAGTATACAGTAACCCAACAAATCCTTATCAAAAGTCACCATGGTAAGAACCAGCTACACTAACCACTTCCCTTGTGAGAGCCAGCTTTATTCCCTCCCAGTTATAAAAACATGCCATTTATTTGAACATGGAAAGGGAGTAACAGTGCTAGACCCATATTGTCTCATTTCCCATTTCCTTTTAGGTATCAAAATGCAGACCTTGTCACAATAAGGCTCAGAAACGCAATGAAGCAGACGGGCCTTCAGGAGAGAAAGGTCCTCCAAAGTGAACTTAGCAGGAAAAAAGAACAAGCTCTACATAGTATTTTTAATTTTCCGAAAGTGATTGTAAAGAAATGGGAGGGAAGACCGGATAGGCTGACTGTTACTGACACATGCCAAACCTTGCCCAGTTATAACTACAGTGAAAACTTTGACTGCATTTATGTTTATGCACTAAATATTTGTGGTTTCAAGGAGAAAAAAAGTTTAAAAAATTTCTTTACGGCAAAATCCACAGGCCTTTGCACCTCCACCAAATCATAAATTTATTTGTTGTCCTGTTTGCTGCACAAGAAAGTGTTTTGAAATCCATAGGCGATGGTGTCTTCTCCCCCAGAGATCAACTGAAAATGCTTAAGGGAAAGAAGAGCCTGTACTTCTTAAGGTACCAGCTCCTGTAACACAAGCTATGTTCTCCCCACAGAGGGGAGACAGAGCACAGCCAGTCCCAACAAGTATAACCATAGAGCTCTTCTGCACAGATGATATTTCACAGATCCGAAAATGCTGCAGTTGCATAAATCAGTCCTCCATCTGTTTTTTGGCTTTGTTCCAATCCAGTTTACCTACTTACTAGTTGTGCAAATCAGGGAGATGTGTAGCCCTTTTGGCTGTTTGATCAGAGAACCTTACTGTACATTTTGTACCAATGGTAACCAGAGAAAGTAAATTCATTCAGTAGTCTTTCCCTCACAGACATAAATTGGAACAGAGCTGAATTATTTCCCAATAAGCCAGAAGAAGCAAACTGAGTATTTTTTCAAAACAGCTATTTATAGTTAAAAAGGTTCTAAGTATATTTAAAAAAAAGGAAAAAAGGAAAGACAATCATATTCTTACTTTTGACAACTTTCACTGTTAAGTCCTTTGAATCAGGGTTTTAATCATGACAGAAACTCACAGTTCTTAGATATTTCATAGAATCATAGAATGTTTTGGGTTGGAAGGGACCCCTAGAGGTCATCTAGTCCAACGCCCCTGCAGTGAGCAGGCACGTAACAAAACATGGTCTGGCCTAGCCAAGAGCAACCTAAACGCACAGAAGTTGAAACATCCATTTACATGTTGAGATTCTGTTAGAACCAGGTGGCCTTGCAGTTTGTAACACATACTACACTACCAGATCTTGCATCCTTCTTTTTCTCCAAGCTCTACAGGCACCTGCTGCCTGAAACATCAGAGATGGTCTACCTCACTCACCTTATGAATCCCATACCAAGTTTTATGGAGCTGAGAACCACAAGATGCACAGCGCTTACCTACTCATTGTGAGTACAACAGGTTTTATGCTAGCATCACCCTGCTGCCAGTAGCTTGACAGAGTTGACGAGCAGAGAAGCTTCACTCTGAACCCTGAAAGAGTCACATGCAACTCCAGGGTGGGCATAGTGGTCATTCAGGTCCTGATTTTCCTCTGAATTGGGATTCATGTTTTGAATAAAACCCAGATTAGAGAAGTTTCACCTACTCAGTGACAAACCTTGTGGTACTGGTGCCTTATGCTGCAATAAAGCAAACGGGGTAGATACACAAGAAGTGAACACTTGCTCATGAAGAATACCAATAAAGCCTATAAGGCTCCACCATTGCACAAGGGTTTTACTAGAGGCTCACTCACAAGATTAAAACCTGTATTTTTGTTTAAGTCCCAGTTATTTAGGTCTCAACTGCTTATGCACAATGTGAGTACTTTAAAGACAGTAGAAATACTTATGCATACAGCTAAGCTGCTGCCTGGAAAGAAATACTTCGAAAAAATTGTCAATTCAGAAAAAGTCAGAGACCCGTTTTGACAAAGCTCCTATGGAACTTTGTCTACTACGTGGTAGAAGCTGGCAGATTTCCTACTAGTTCCCCTTGCTAGCTCCTCGGCAGTCCACCCTGTGGGCTGAAAGGAAGCCAAAAGCCTAAAAGTTCTGGCTGTGCTCTCCCCTGCAGTCTTGATTCCCAGGGTCTACAAGTGGCCTGCCCTGGCACTGGACCTATATTCCCTTTTGCAGTCAATTTTAAAACACAGGAATGCAATTCACACACAGCTGATTTCAAAATGCCGAAGCAATTGTCCTTCCCCACTTGGGAGCCCTCAGCTGGGCATCCTCACTTGTGGCAGAAGTGTACAATACTGCCACAAACATGCGGCTCAGAGCAGGTCAGAACAAGCGAACAGTGGAGCATGCTAATTTTCTGCTGAGGTACTAAGGGGAATTAGGTATTTCAGCATATTTACCAGGACAAGACGGTTTACCATTGTACCTGAACATGCTGGAACTTAACCACATGCTTAAGAGACAAAACTGAAGATACAGTAGCACTGTTCCTCTTACCATAGGTTCATGTAACACTAAAGAGCTAATCTATACTTCAAAGTTTTCAATGTAAATAACATAATTTCAAGACCAAACATAATTATACTCCAAATGAGTTTAGAAAGATAAACATTAAACAGTTTCATTAGTTTGGTAGCATTAATTAGAGAAAATGGGAGAATGATTTGGTTAAAGACAGTACCTTTCTGAGAAATGCCAGAGTTTTCACAAAGGTTTGTGCTCCTATTTGTAAACTTACATAGAATATCCCAAGCACAGCAGACAAGGAAAGTTACTGACACTGATGTATTTGGTACAGAGAGTAAACATTTGAATGAGATGTCATCAAGACCTTTCTCATGGTCACCTAATAGGGAAGCTTCCCTTTCTGAAGGGGAAAAAAGCTGGAAGTCCAGCTTCCAGTGTAGAAAAGAAACAGAATTTGTAGGAGACCTTAGGAGCGCAATCTGCAAACCCTGACTTCTCTTCTTTTGCAGACAGAAAAAAGCTTGGGCTGAGAAATTCTTTTGGGCTGAAACGATGAGCGTGCTGACCTGCAGCAGAAGCCAAAAGCAATGGTCAGGCATCACACCACTCTAACCCACTGCAGCAATTCTAAATTGCCCTGTATCACCCGAGCCAAACACTTTGCCTATCATTAATATTTCTCCCCACTCAGCTTGCTGAGGGTAGTGGTGTATGTTGGTTTACAATACTGAACACATCTTTACATGAAAGCACCTTACAACTTTGCACAGATGGGGGAAATGTTAGTTTAATCCAAAATATTTTATTACTCAGTTCCCTGATGAGGATTATCTGCCTTCTTCCCACAAAAGTAGGCAGTCTGAGTGTCAGTCAGCATGTCAATCTTCACAGTGAGAGAAACCAAACACATCAGTCATCCAATCTTTTCTGTATCAGTTTGGCACAATGCACTTCTAAAATGACAACCCTGAAGAGTGTGTTTCTCTCTGCCAGACATCTGCATGGCTTAAGGAGTTTCATTTCATGCCTTCTTGTACACAAAGCCGGGGGGGGGTAGGCCCATGTACCCCCGCGCTTCCTCCCAAGAACTCTGGGAGGGATAGGAAACATGCAGTTGCAACTCAGAGTAAATTCTGGTCAGAGGAAGAACCTGAAACTCTCAATTAATTTAGGAAGATGTTTGAAGAAGCCTGCGTGGAGCAGAATGTACCCATACAGGAGATTCGGGCCCTAACCTTGGAGGTTCAAAGAGAAAACCACTTCTCCTGGTTACAGTGACCTTGCCAGAAGCCAGCTGCCACCACCACAGGGCAGGCAATGAAAAGCCTGGCTGCATTTGCTGGGCAGTATAGAAGAACTAGTTTCCACTCTTACCATAGAAAACCTAATAGAAACCCCAGTGCCCCGGCTGGGGCATCTGATGTGCCTGCAGAGATCAGGAAACCTGCTCTATTGAGCTGTTCATTACAAATAAATGCAGAACTTACAGTTAAAACCCCAACAAATTAATGTCTGTTCTGTATTTACAGAAGAACTCATTTTCTGGACCTATATGCAGACATTATTGAAATAACTTTTAAAAAATAAACTTACACATATTAATATCGCTTTCAGAGGAACTCCATCCACCTCCACTCAAAAACCAGCTGTTCACATTTCCATTTCAAGTCTGAGCTGGCTAAGAACTTTACACAACTACAGAAGCCATCACCTATGTTTTATTTATATGAATAATCCAACAAAATTAATAAGCAATACCAATCCTTAATATGGGAGATCCTTTCCAAGCTTTTAAGAGCACACTAGCACTCTTTCAGTGAGCTTCCATGCTAGTCACAACTGCAGTATTTTCTCACATTAAGCAAACAAGTCTTTAGTCACAGGCTAAGCATCTGTAGATTTTAGTGAAATAACAAACATTTCAGATGTGTTTTATGGGAACATATAAAACACTGATTACATATCTGGTGGTAAAATTAAAACTTGCAACAAGAGAAGAAAATTGTAAGGAGTATCAGTAGCATACCTGGCAACTCCACAATCTGAAAACATGGAAGAAGTGAAAAAAAAAAAAAGTGTAAAGTACTGATAAACTGAGAAAACTGTCACTTATTACACATGAATTTTCAAAGTACATATTCAGCAACCAGAAATTAAAGCACAGTGATAATTCAAAGAAATCGGAGTACCGTCTCAACCCTGAAAATAAAACACTTGCCTGCTGGAGTGTTTTAATCTGACAAATTTGACAAACTCAGTAAACTCTACACGCACTGTGAACTGGAGGTCACTGCAAGTTTCACCACACATTTCAGATATTTGCATTTTGTACGCTTCTCCAGATGCGGAACAGTTAAATATTACCTGACGGTAATGGGGAGACTATTATCCACTGAGCTTTGCAGTCTCCCTTTTAAATAATACAAAGAATTACAAAAATAAAATTCTGCAGGCATTTATTGGCAGTAGAATGGGAGGTAACACTGACAATTTGTTTAAAAAAACAAAGCTGTTTCTCAATTTGGTATTATCACAAATTAGGTTTTTTCCCCTTCAACACTGAAAACATTTATGCCAAGCCCTTTCAGTATTGGAAACTAACAAACCTGAAGATACAAGCATGATAGTCATACAGGACACACAAAAAATCTTCAGTGTGTAAGAGGGTATGTGAGAGAAATAACTAGTGAAATGAAATGCATAACTGTGGGCGAAAAAAAGGACTATTAGCTGCATACCTTTGAGGGTTAACTACCAGCTTGCAAAAGGACCTGATCATCATGGCTGACAGCAGAGCAAAGAGCAAAGACTCACTTCAGTTTGCTCAAAAGCAAGATGACTAGATACTCAAGAAGAGGATGGAAAAGAGCTCAGAAAACAAGATGTCAGATGTGGACAGATGTCAGTGTGGTCTAGCAGACAACTTATTCTTCCAGCACTCTACTCCCACCTTCCACAGTGACCCTGGGTAAGTTACAAGGAGCTGCAGTATCAACAGCAGTGTGAAATCTACTGATGAGAAATACCATGGAAGAACCAAAGTCACCCAGCACGATATTAGCAGCCATTCCACTACAAATTACAGTATCAGAAAAAGAGAGATAACATAATACTGTTTGTTCTCCTATTTCCATGAGTGATGTGAATAGTTTACACTTCAGGGACGCAAAAGAAATATATGCAGTGTGAAACAAAGGTAGATTGACTTGAATTCCAGTTTAATCTCATAGCAGGGAAACAGGAATACTCAGTGACATTCTAAGTTTAAAGAACAAAATCACTTCTTGCAAACACCTTCAAATCCTTAGCCACAAGATGCTGAGCCCCATCAAAAAGTTGGGACATTTCTGAGCAAAACTGAGAGGGACTGATGGCTCTATTAGCTTTTATTATCTTATTATTACATTATTTATTATATTATAATTTGAAAAGTATTTCATCAGTTTCCAGATAGAAGATAAACAATTCCCAATTTCAAATGACTCTGAAATATCAAGTAAATAGAGCTGCTGTTTTTTCAGGACATTTTTCAGCCATGATCCAACAAAACTGATCTTCAAAAAACCAAAACCAAACAAAACCGACAAAAAAGAAAACCCAACCAAAACAACACAACAACAAAAAACCCAAACCCCAGAAAACCAAGAAACAAACAAAAAACCCCCAAACCTATCTTACAGGAAAAAAAATAATCAAGGCTATTCACCACAGAGCAGGATTCTCCAGTTCTGCAGCGTAGTGAGACAGGAAATTGGAAGCGTCCTGCAGGCAACACACTCAGCCTCCGGGTAGAGGAGATAAAAAGGGAGGGAAGCAACAGAAAGTAACTTTCCACTTAACCTCGTTCTCCTAGTCACCTAGAGACAAGTAATGAAGCCCTCTTAAAGGCTTTCTGTCCGCTTTGCCTCAAGCAAAAAAATGAACTGTAATTCTAGAGTTTTACGTGAGAGCAGAGCAGATAAAAAGTAAAACAAGACAACCCTTGGGTCTTTGCAGAGAATCCTCCGAGAACACCGAGATTAGCCTTAGAAACTCAGCACTCAAACCAGATCTGTTCTCTTATCACCACTGCTGCTGAAAACTAGCTTTACAAGTTTGTTTAAAGAACAGCTACATGGCAACATATAATTTCTATT